ATACGGTAGGCCTGTAAATAAAGAGGGCAAAAAGAATAATCAAAGATTTAATACAGTCAACAATATATACAAATTAACCAGACATTTCCTTAAATGCATTACGGTATTTAATTCCTTGAAGGATTTTTGAAGGTAGGAATCTAGGACCGCAACTGGACACCATTTGTTGTGGGTAGGATAGTATGTTATCTCTACTGTTGGTGCGTGTTGACTCGTTTTGGAATGTGGTGAGCCAATAGGTAATGATATATGTGTTTACATACGTGGGATCGTTGAAGACAATGATCTGTCTGAGTGGTGGTTATGGTAGTGGATTCTCTGGCCTGAGAAAGGCATAAAAGGCAGTGTGCATGGCTGGTAATGGCCAACTTGGTAGTATAATTGAATGGTTGTAGCTCTAATAGGTCCGATAAGGATGGAAAAGTTGGATGGCTATTGGTAATATCTGAGAGGAACGTGGGGGGATGGATTCCTGAAAACCTCTGAGTATATTCTTGTCTGGTATGATAGCATGAAGTTATGGTAGTTTTGGCCATAGGTTATCCTGTGTTGTTGAATGCCTGTAAAATATATAATTAATGGTGTGTGAGATGGTTTTAGTTTAAGGTGGCAAAAAATGAAGCAAAACCTAGGAGAAATGTTATGACACAGGTTGAGCTATGTCGTGTTCCAATGAGATTCCTTAAAGCCAGGTGAATAGGTGTTATGCGTTCTACAAGTATGGGATGAAAGTGTTAGGTGGGATAGTGCATGCTATGCTGCATGAGTATGTCTAATCCATGATTTTGTCTCTGGAACAAAAGAGTGGCCGTGACTGTATGGACGGCTGTAGGAAGCGTATAATGAACGTGCCTGGAATATAAATGAGACAATTGTCGGCAAGGATGTATACCCCCGCCTGGTACATGAAAGTAAAAGAAATGTGGTAAGTGGCCAACCAAGTGAGTTCCCCAGCAATACCATGATCGTATGGATGATGAGTGGCATTTGTTGATGATATGACATGTGCTTAGTTGTCTGAGTAACAACGGATTGATGACCCTGACCATGATTTACCCCATGCCACAGCAGCTGCTTTTAGCGGGGAAAGGATTGCCCATTTTATGCCATGTAAGTGCCAGTTTGTAGGGTAGATGGTAGCCGTTTACTGTGTTGATGATATTGGTCTTACTTAACGAAGCTTCAACCCATGCTTGAGTGATAGCTGTAAAGGTAGATCAATGGTGTGTATAGTAAGGAAACTCCTCGGAGGATATGAGGGAGTTGAGACTTGGGGTAGCGAAGGTGTGTGGTCCCAATAAGTCTATGGTTAGTCTTTGTTTAAGGGAAGATTCCCTTGTGACAATACCAATGCGTTTGTGTTTGGTGCCATGCTGTAAATGGTGGAGATTGGAAACCCAAGTAAAAACCCCTCTGCAAATCTTGGCTATGAGTGTGTTTACAGCCGACGGTTCTGTTGTGCTGACTAAGTGAGGGCATGCTATATTCCTTGAGAGTTTATTTATGATACCTGTATGGGAGCCCTTTGAAGCTCCAGAGCCTTAGTAAATCTACTACAAGTCTGGAAGGGTGATGAGTCAGTAGTGTTGAAAATGCATTGGTGTGTACAGATGGTGAGTACGTTATTTGTAAGTTGTATTGGGACACATGGTTTGTCATGTGCCCTGAATGATTTGAACATATATGCAACATTCTATATGCAATGCAACTACTAATACCAATTGTCTCTGGTAGTTCAGAGGTGCTGGTACCTGGAGCCTGAGAGTGCTCGCCCGTTTGTTTGGGAGAAAATCCCTTCTGTATGGGTACCTGCACAAATAAGCATCTCTACATATTCCAAATGCCAACACAACCAAGGGATGGTCAGTTCCCGATTTACATAGAATCCCTGGGTCTGACCATCATAGATACATCATCATACATATATATGCCTTGTGTTCCCAATGTGCCGGGATCATATGTGCAGGGTTAACGTCTTGTACCAAGTAACCGAGTTTCGGTTGGTGCTGGTTGTACAGTAGCGTGAGGCCCAGCCTTGTGAGGGCTGTGACTGACTCGAGATTGCCAGTCTGTCATAAATTTTTTGGCTCATGATTTTATGAGTGAGGCTAGCATGGCCTGGGTGTCACCTGAGTTGGTGTTGCTGGGCCTCCGTTGATGTATGGAGGAGTTTGAATAACTCTGCTTTCCTTGCTGTGGCAGGGTAGGGGATTTGTCGCCTCCTTAGGTCGGAGCCACATCTCCTCTGCTTGAAGGTGTATCACTTCTAGCCAGGGTGCCAGGAAGAGGTGATTCTTCACCATCTTTTTGAGAAATACTTAAATAACAATAAAGATTGCAATTATTATTTGTACCCAGGAGTCTTGTACTGGCTTGCTAGCTAAGCCGTAAGGCGAAACGATTAGGCTTGGTGTTTTTTGGTGACTGGTGAGGCCCTGCTAGTTGCCAAGTGGCTTGAGAGGCTCTATCTATGCTTGGCGCGAGGGGATTTTGTGTGGCCACCGAACGTTGTGGCAGGATGTTGGCCTCTCGGTGACAGTAACCAGAAAATAGGAAGGGGAGTGACAGGTGAGGCCCTCTCTATGATACAATGCGAGGCGGCTAGCTCACGAGTGGCCCGAGGGGTGTATGCCTCCGAGTGTGAGGCGGGGTGTTGGCCTCGCGGGACCACTAACCGAAGCGTAAAGCAGAGAAAACAGGGGGTAATACCTATTGGGCCATAGAACCCTAATTGCCAGTACATTACTACTATTCCAGGGAAGGTAAGAGATCAAGGTGTATCACTTCTAGCCGTGGTGCTAGGAAGAGGTGATTCTTTACCATCTTTTTGAGAAATACTTAAATAACAATAAAGATTGCAATTATATATTTGTACCCAGGGGTCTTGTACCGGCTGGCTAGCTAAGCCGTAAGGCGAAACGATTAGGCTTGGTGTTTTTTGGTGACTGGTGAGGCCCTGCTAGTTGCCAAGTGGCTTGAGAGGCTCTATCTATGCTTGGCGCGAGGGGATTTTGTGTGGCCACCGAACGTTGTGGCAGGATGTTGGCCTCTTGGTGACAGTAACCAGAAAAATAGGAAGGGGAGTGACAGGTGAGGCCCTCTCTATGATACAATGCGAGGCGGCTAGCTCACGAGTGGCCCGAGGGGTGTATGCCTCCGAGTGTGAGGCGGGGTGTTGGCCTCGCGGGACCACTAACCGAAGCATAATGCAGAGAAAAAAGGGGGTAATACCTATTGGGCCCTAGAACCCTAATTGCCGGTACACTATTACTATTCCAGGGAAGGTAAGAGATGGATAACTACGTGAGCAGGTGTACGTACCTGGTAGTATGGTATTGAACCTGACAATCCGTATAGGTTTTTTAGTAGTAACTGTAACCTGAATGGATAAAATCGTATGGCATAAGGAAATATGGCATAGACCAAGCTTATCTTAAAACATACAGTGTATGTGAAAGTAAAGTGCCGTGATATGTAAATATTAAACATCATATCCATACTGGTTAAATATGTATCAAACTTAACCCATTAAGTGCCGTATGTATGTGAACCATATTACCAGTTACGTATATACAGATGCGTGTGCTACTGTGTAATAATATGTGTATTTATAACAGATATTGATATACTGCTTGCTATGTGAATTGTTGTATGCCTTATTGAATGGCAAGTGAACATGGAGTTGCAAAATGCAAGTGCACTGGAGATCTGCTGAGTGCCCTATAGGTGGCAGTGTAGTTGATACTGATTGGTATGTGAAATGTTGTTTGTCTGTTGACCTATAGGGGTCAGTGTTTTGGTGTTTGTAAAACCCCATGAAAAACCCCATGAAAATTGTCAATGTACTTGACAGATCTGTAGGTGGCAGTGTTGATAGAACCACTGTTAGTCTTAATGTGAAATGTAAACTATTGTGAATTAAACCTGAAGTTGAGCCCGTGTTGGAGTTTAATTCATGGTTGTAGAATATTGCATATTCTATGTTTCTATTGATTATATATGGATGTGTGGATTGACATAAGTAACAGATGGTATCAATAAGTCACAAGGCTTTCTTTGTCCGAGAGCTCTGGAATGTGGATTGGGGGTCTTGTCCTTATATGGCTAGAGTTATATGCTGACGTTAGTATTAGCACATCTATATAGTAACAGAGGGACACGAGGTCGGTCTCACTCTTGGCTTGGCTCTGTACAACGATGTAACTCTCCCATCAGAAGTCCAGCAATTACCATCTGCTGTTGAATGTCCATTATCCTGTAACATCATTTGTTGTTTTATGTATCCGTAACTAAGAATAAACCTGAAGAAACCGTAAGTCAGATTGCGTATTACTACTTTTCAATAATATAGACATATATTATTGTGGCGAGCATTTGGCCCAAGAATATATATACAAAAGACGTATATATATCAATCAACTGAAGACAAGAAGAAATTAAGAAGATTCCACATGAACATCCATTCATCTAGTTTTTTACATTGGCTAGCCTGCCAGTCTTCTATTCAAGTTTTGTTCCCACTTCAAGGGGGGAGAGAGAAGAATCGAGTTACAAAGCTATTTTGGAACTGGGAAAACAAACTTGAAGAGAAAAAAAAGAATCTAGACTGTGGTTTGTAAGAAAAAGAAAGTTTTCAAATCAAAGACTGTACAAGACTATTTTCTACAACTGAGACAAAAAGCACAAGATACAACGTGAAATCTAGAAGCAAGCACGTGGCAGACATTGGCAAGCGTCCAAGCAAAGAACTGCGCAGCTGTGTGGATGAAGCAACTAAATAGACAGAGATAACTGATCTGGTGAGTAACATGGGATTCATAAATGATATTACAGAGAAAAGTAAATTGCAGTTTGCATTTAATAGCAGCTATTCAGATGCTGTATTGTGGCAATCTTTATACACACAATGTGAAATTGCCAATAGTGAAATTGACAAGAAATTGTTTGTTAATAAGAAAAAACAAAAGATCACAAATGTTATGAAACTAGTCTGTACTTACAATGCATTGATTTGTAAACGAAATACAGGTAAAGACAATTTAGAATCAGCAGAAAAAGAAGTAGATTTGAATGGGTTAACAGAAGACAAATCAGATTTAAATGAACAGTGTAACAATGTAACAGAGAGAACATTGTCAGAAAAAGTCTGTGAATTAGAGGATAGAGTTGAACTAAGAAATGATCTTATTTGCCAGCTTAGAAATGAAGCTAAACTAGTGTGTGTTAATACAAGAAAAATAAAGGCACAGAATCTAATCCCAGAACCAATAGATACTGAAAATGTATCCTCACAGAGTGATTTGCAGAAATGTAAATTCCAAGACAGAACTGCAAAACTTAATTTGAAAATACATGAACAATTAATGAAAATTGTGAAATGTATTCCAGTTTATGACACGTCAGTGGATGCATTTACTAATGCTGAAATGTTTGAGTCTAATTTAGACAAATACAGCCTAAATGACGAACAAAGGAATAGACTATTTCAAATATGGCTGCCGACTCAAATGGCATGTAGGCTGACCATGCTTGTAAAATTTCAGGACAATGATGAAATAATATATGGAAATAAGCAAGACAGATTAACACAATTAATAAAATTAACAACAGGGAATGATTTTGCAGACACTGAAATGTTGGAAAAACTAAAACCACACAAAGGGGAGGATATATTTAGTTTTCTTGTAAAATTTGAAAGTGCATATAGACTTGTTGCTAATTTTCCTGAGAATCAGTTAATTAATGAATTTGTGAAAAAATTTCAAGATCTAGATCCAACTGCAATTGTGTTAGCTAGAGAAAAAAGCACTTTGACAGAAGTAGCTTTGTTCTTGGATAACTTAAGGAGGGAAACCAATAATGAAGGGGTTAAAATGACTTGTGGATTTAGGCAGAGAAAGAAGTGCAGATGTTACAGCCCTCGTCCCCCTCCTTCTTCTTCTTCTAGGACAGAGTGTAGAGTGATACAGACAGCTGAGCCCCTCCCAATTTATTCAACTAAAAACTGTAGAGTTGATAATATAGGGCAAAATATAACTCCTAAAGTTATTTGTTTTTGGTGCAACAAACAACATTATTTAAGATCTTGCAGATATTTTATCCGAGATATCAAATCAAAAGCAAATGAGAAATTAAATTTGTTGATTGAAAATTTTGACAGAGAAAATACATGTGGAGATAAATCAATAAAGGCCTTTCCTTGTAAACTGATAATCAGACAAATAAAAGCAATTTTAGCTAAATCGAAATTAGGAGACAGACAAGCAATGCAGTGTAACACAGAAAGTTATAAGAATCAGATAACTTCAAGAGATATGATCAGTTTAGGGAATGAGCATGGATATGTCTGCCAACAGATGTACACAGGCTGATTCCAGAATTAAGAACAGCACAATAATAGAGAACTATGTTAGTTTGTTGTTTTAATGAATTGTTAGTCTGAACTGTTTTTTCATTGTTTTTATGTGTGTTATAAGAAAGTATTAGGTTAATTAATTAAAGTAAAAATTTACATCAAGTTTGCAAATATGGCAGAATGAGATACACTAATGTAGCAGTTAGGATCATGCAATCTATGATATATTGGGTGTATGCGATTATACAGTAACTCCAATCATTTTACAGAAGAAAAAACAATGTTGTTGCTTCTGAGGTTGATTTAAAATCTTTGATTTAATTCATGAGAATGAGATTTTAATATCATGACTGATAATGGATTACTATATTTTGCAAAGCCTGGACATACATATGTTTCGACTATTTAGAAGACAAAAGTTTTGATAGGATAAAACCTAGATTTACAAATACATTTGATGAAGGAAACAATATATGTTTTTTGTAGTTTGTTTCATGTGACAAAATGGTGCCAGTATTAAGACAAAATGGCTGCTATTGCTAAAGTATAGTGTAAAACAATATTTTGTTGTAACATCTGATATGTGATTAGGTTATACCTCCAGATTATTAAACAGTTTAAAAGGGGGGTATGATTAATAAAAAGTTTGGCAAATTAAAATGTTCAGAAAGATTTGAATATAAAGGAAATTTAAAGATTATACATCACATGGCATAAATGTAATGACCACAAGATGGTAGATCTCATGAGAAGAAATGAGAATGTTGTGTAGTCCATGTAATTCAATGTTAAACTGTATAATAATAATGAGATATAAACATTGTAAGCCATTGTATTGATGCTGCACATGTTATTTGTTTTAATGTAGGTAAAGCGTGACAGATCCTTGTGGCAATAAATTAGGAAAGCATTCCTTCAGACATTTGGACATCGACTGTTGGAAAGAGACTTTTCATCTAATCTGCAAACTGTGATGGAAGATTCTACAGAGTTCATTCGATACAGAAGATTAACAGACTTACAAAGAAATAAAAGATTGACACTAACATACATATATATTCCTAAATATTAATGAAGAAAACAGACAATGAAAAGTTATTTAACAGTTATGAGTATTAATACCAAAAGAGACTACTTATAGCTAGATAACACATGGAGTACAATTACGAAAAGATAGTATTATGAAAGAACTATTACATTATTACCTATACATAAAATGAGAAGTATCAGAGGTTGATAAAATATGAAGTTGATAAAATAAGGATCATGGTTACTTAATACCACAAAGATTGAGTTCAATAGTATTTCATAGATTAACTATAATGAGTAATTTGTTTATTATCGAGGTAAAGTAAAACAAACAATGGTAACATAAGGAAGAAAACTAAGGAAGAATAATTTATATTGATTTATATTAAGTAATTATATACATTAAGAAAGCCTTGGATATAAGAGTTCAGAGATCCAAGAGGAATTGAATTGAATGGAAAGAGTATAGTACACAATTATATTTGACCTAAGTCTATAAAGGTATGGACTAGGGAGAATAGGTTTCTGGATATGATGGTATCCAATGAATACGTTGTTAAGTTGTTTATGATTACCCTGAGTTTGTTAGACACAGACTAGGAATAAGAGTTTCTGGGCAGTATGATCCCAAGTTTATTTTTGTTTATTTTATTTTAGTCAGTTGAAGTGTACTAAGGAATATGGATTGGTCAGAACATTAGGACAATCCTGCTTTTAAGATGTATTACATTAATAAGTCATCACAATGCTAATGAAGAGAGTGATGCTAATGAATTTAAATTATTCTTTCCAAGTTATTTTAAAGTAAACTATGTTTCTATTGAATGAAAAGTTTGTTACTACAAGGTAGAATAGTAGTCAAAATTATAATTATGTAAACAAAAACAAATCTATGATAGAAAGATTTCTGGGTGGAGAATTTCTAGGACAATAAGTATTGTCAACACCATGAACATTATTTGAAGAATTATTATAGAACTTCATGGTTGATAACACATCCTTTGAATGAGACTTATAAGTAGTGTTGGTATATTTCAGTTAGTGAGAGCCTACTGAATATACAAATTAAATACTATGATTGTAAAGTACTGATACAATCATCACTAGATGGTATTAATGGTATAGGAATGTAATTCATGAATACAAATGACCTAAAGATTTTAAGGTGGCTAGAAACCATATGATTCATGGAAATCTAATTGGACAGGATATTATAGTAATACATGTATTAGTACTTAAGTAATATCAGGTATTGAGAATGAAAATACTATGCTATATGTGTCTGTAGGAATATGATAGTGCTACACAGTTATTATTATTTAGAAAGTTATCATCTTGATTTTGTTATCTACAAAGACATGACTGTACCATAGCAGGTAGATATTTCTGATTGCTTTATTGTTTATTGGATCAACATTTGTAAATATTTTATTCATTTATTATTGTTATATATATGTATATATTATGTTCAAGTAGTTATGATGTAACATGGATATGGATATCAATACATAGCTGAAACAGAGGGAGTTTGAAGTAAAGTAAGCAGTATGAGGGATAGAAACTCGACCTTCTAAGAACTCTCATATAATAGAAAGTTGTGACTACATCTTGTTCTATGCTCAATGAATGTGATACAAGTGATGTATGAATGGACAGGTTAGTGACATTGTGTTATGGTTTTAAAACAAACCATAAACAGAGGGAATGTAGAATATTGCATATTCTATGTTTCTATTGATTATATATGGATGTGTGGATTGACATAAGTAACAGATGGTATCAATAAGTCACAAGGCTTTCTTTGTCCGAGAGCTCTGGAATGTGGATTCGGGGGTCTTGTCCTTATATGGCTAGAGTTATATGCTGACGTTAGTATTAGCACATCTATATAGTAACAGAGGGACACGAGGTCGGTCTCACTCTTGGCTTGGCTCTGTACAACGATGTAACTCTCCCATCAGAAGTCCAGCAATTACCATCTGCTGTTGAATGTCCATTATCCTGTAACATCATTTGTTGTTTTATGTATCCGTAACTAAGAATAAACCTGAAGAAACCGTAAGTCAGATTGCGTATTACTACTTTTCAATAATATAGACATATATTATTGTGGCGAGCATTTGGCCCAAGAATATATATACAAAAGACGTATATATATCAATCAACTGAAGACAAGAAGAAATTAAGAAGATTCCACATGAACATCCATTCATCTACATTTTTTACAATGGTTTATGGTTATGTTTAAAACAAATCTTATGTGTAATTTATATTGGCTAGTAATTGTATATGACATGTGAAGACAGTTTTGCTGTTGACCAGTTGGGGTCAGAAATGCTGATTGTATGGTAAAATACCCTTTAACCCCTGAAGGATACATGACATGTGTGACATATCATTTATTCCAGAGTTTGGTCCTTAAGGGGTTAATCCAAATGCAAGGTTAACGTGAGATTTTGAGAGTGACCTGTAGGGGTCAGTGTGGTTTATGTGAAACATTGTTTGTGAGCTATGCCCCAGCATTATAGTTGTGTGACAGGGAAACAAACAGTGCCCGTTTGACAATATACAATAAGTGAACATAATAGCTAACAGTCATTGTAACAAACCAAAGTTCTGTTCATGGGTTGTAAACGCACGAAGCGTGTGTGTAGTACAACAGTAAATGCATGAACTAGTACCCGTTTGGTAGAAAATTGCACGAACCGTGAGCCTGGTATGTCAGGGAAACAAAACGAAACGAGCAGTGAGATTCGAAATGCACGCACAGAATTGCCTGGTATGTTTAGGCAATTGAAACAGAATGTGTTCCCGTTTGGAAGTATGCTAATGCTTGAAATGAGCCAGTGACAGATATAAACAAGTGAATTTAAACGAATGATATGCATCCAATGGTTTTAGGACAGATTTAGACAAAATGCAGCCGTAAAGTGAGGACCTGACCCGTGCATGGTGCCGTGGGACTGATGCCTGGCGTAACGGGTAGGTCGACTTACGGTTTGTGAGTCACTTGGACACCATCCACAGCGATAGATTGAAGAAAGAATGTGGAAGGCCGGAAAAGCCTGTGGCTGAATTCCTGACACAGCTCAGCTTAGAAAACCTCATGGTGTAATCAGGTAAAATGGCGTCTGGATGACCCGGAAGTGGAAATCATTCTGATGCTGACCTCAAGCGATATGAGTCAGGTAAGGGGTGTCCCTTATATAGGGGAGTGAATTAATTTAAGCCCCTCCCACAAATACAGGCCAAATGGCCTTAAAACATATATACATACACACACATACACATACACACACACATATATATATATATTTTATCCAGAAAATCAATCTATCACCCATGATTGAAGAAGCTTCAATACTGGTTATCCTTGACGTCCAGAGCCTATACACAGTCATACCACATGAGGACGGTGTGCAGGCTCTAAGAATGATCTTGAGTGAATCCTCAGTGTACACTGGACCGCCTATAGAATTCGTACTAGAATTTTTACAGATTGCTTTAACCTGCAACTATTTTAAATTTGAAAAGCAGTTTTTCTTACAACTCTCTGGGACAGCCATGGGAGCGGCGATGGCGCCGTCAAACGCCAACACCTTTATGTATGTGTTTGAGCACAAGTACATCCTACAGAAATTTGGGGATTCGATCAAACATTATCATCGCTTTGTGGACGACATATTCCTTATATGGACGAGTACAGCAGAGGAATTGAACAGCATGATAGCTGAAATCAACCATGCTCACACATTAGACAGTAAAGCTGAGTATGCAATATGATTTATGCTTTGATGCTGAGTTAATTATAATATGTTCTGGCCATGCCTAGATAGATTTCCTTAGTCTGGAATTCAGGGATTATTACTTGTGTCTTGCCTTATTGGTGCTGTTTGCTGGCTTCTGTTCTTTTTTTTCTGTTTTGTTTTGGGGTTTCAGTACTATATTTATCCTAGTTTATCCAGCAGAATATCTGCTCTTAGCCCATTACCTAATTAAGGTATGATTATTAAGCATTTGTCTATTTCATGCTGCAGGTACTGGAAAGTGATCTTTCTAACTGTTAATTCATTGACACTGCTCCATGGTATGCTTGTTGAAACTTTTTATGATGTACCTTCAATATTGTCTTTCGTTGGTATTGATTTTACTAAGTGCATGATCTTCACCATTCACACACATTTACTGTCATCTTTAAATGGTGCATGCGGCACTTAATACTCAGGTCACCTGGTGTGACATCACACTATGTACACTTGGACTTAGAGTCCACACATTTTCTCTACACACTGTTGCACCTTTTAATCAATATAACATGGTAGTTTCACTTGGCCCAATTTACCTATTTGACACCACACACATTATTTCTCAATGTTCCGAACCACCGGACTGTAACTATTCATTGTTCCGTCATAGTTTATTGGTCTCCTAGCAATCACGTCTGGGAGATGGGCACGCCCACACGTCACATGACGCATTACGCACACTTCCGGGTTCGGACCTCTGGAATGAGGGAACACTGCATGATTGGTGAGTAACCTTTTTTCATTCCCTATATATTTCTGTCATATATGTTTATAAATTGATCTTGAGGAAGACCTGAAGAGGTCGAAACGTCAATCGGATTTATGTAACTTTGTTGGATATTAAATATCAGTGATTTCTTCTAAAGACCACAGAGTGCATCTCTTTTTCATTTATTGTCTATACTCAGCGTGGGATTACATTTATACAATATGAAAGGGCGATTGCCACTATACTTATATATATGTGTGTGTGTGTGTGTGTGTAAATATATCTCTTAAAAATGTTTTTTTTCCACAAATGAAGCTATCTTCACTGATATAATGATATAACATTTTTCTGGGTAAGGTTTTAACAGGCAGGCACCCAAGTGAGCAAACTTAATCAAATTATTCAACATAACTATAGCTATATTTGACACTCCAGAGGGTTCCACAGCATGTATCTGCATTAAACAGTAATAGAATACATGTATATACCACAATATATGCAGAGGAAGAATATTGCCTGAAGCTCTGGTTCATTTGCACATGGGGTCAAAGTTTCCAAACAAGGAATCAAAAGAAGGAACTATTGTAAAGATGCTGATCACAGCCTCTTAATAAGGCTATAATGGAACTACAAACCTGAGTGTCTTGATAAAAAGTATGTACTTATTCTCAAAACAATGATAACAATTTTAAGGGACACTATAGTCACCAGAACAACTATAGCTTAATGTAGTTGTTCTGGTGAGTATAATCATTGCCTGCAGGCATTTTAATGCAAACACTGCCTTTTCAGAGAAAAGGCAGTGTTTACTGTTCCCCTATAGCACCTCCAGTGGCCTCAGATGGCAACTAGAGGTGCTTCCTGGGGCAGTGCTGTTTTACATAGGGATGCTATATTTTCCTCATAGAGATGCATTGATTCAATGCATCTCTATGAGGAGGTGCTGATTGGCTAAAACGGCAATCATTGGATTGATGAAAAATCGTCAATTCTGCTGATGTCACCAAGGAAGCGGGAATCAGGGGCAGGGCCAGCATTTGCGAACCCACACGGCGCTGGAAATAAGTTGAGTTTTCACCTTTTCTATGGGGGCTGAGGGGGGCCAAGCCACCTAAATGAGTGGTTTAAATACTATAGGGTCAGGAATACATGTTTGTGTTCCTGACCCTATAGTCTTCCTTTAACTGAACTGTAAGACTAAATCATCTCTATAAATGAAAATTGAATGTACTTACCGTTTTTCCAGCGACGAGTCCTCTTACACCACTACTTTGCTCTGGACTGTCATTGCCGGCTGGAAAAATACACAGCAAATGCCAATATCTCCTTGGGGTTCTTCTCTCGTTAGGTCAACGTGTTTGTGACAAAAGCATCTTCGTCACTGGGATTTGGAGAGGCCTGCTTTCCAGCCTCTTGCCCTGTGACTATGGCCCATGTATGAGACCTGGATTCAGGACTGGGGAAAGGCTTTGTTCGTGCCTTTTTCCCTTCTACAGTTCAACAGACTTATGGTGTTCGTTTACAGAACAAACTTCTGAACAGCCTGACAGCCGACTAGTGGAATGTGCAGCCTGTTAACCTCCCAGAAGCTGTGGTTAACCGCAGCTTAATTGACGGACGGCTGGATGGTCGCCATTCATATGCACGAACATACGTCGAGCAATTGGAATTTTTTTTGGACACGATTTCACACGAACACGGCTGGGACTTCCAGACTTCCAGCCATTCGTCTATTTTTCATACAAATGCAGCGGTATTTTGAAGCAGGGACACACATAGACTATGGCCATTCACCAGTTCATTCGACCATTTGAACGGTCGTTAAACTATTGGAAATAGACCGGCCGCACAGCTTAATTCTCTGGAACTGTTTTGGGCATGAAAATATGTGTGCAATCGGTCAAAAGAGAATTCCAGCTACCTTTTGAACCCCTGCTCTGATCTGGGTGATTTTTAAGTATGTTGTTCCCCCAGATCAGGAAATGTATGTTTTATGGAGATATGTTATGTTTTGGGGTATTTTCTGTACTTTGGGGAAAATGTGTGTTTTTCTGCCTGTGGATAATTAGATTATTGTATTAGCTACTGTAATTATATCACAGGCAGAGTGTAGGGATTGTTTGCTGTACATGGGAGTGTCACAGACTGTATGTTTGTTCTTATTGGTCTGTACAGTTTGAAATGCGGGGGTGTGCCTCTGGCCTGAGGAATTGTATATAAACCAGCCTGTATCAATAAAACCTCAGACTTGTTCTACCCTTCATAAAGTCTTGGCTCATGTTTGGGGAATTATAGAACTACCTACACTCT